AGATTTCCCCACGAAAATTGCGAAAATTGCCCTATAAAATTCGATTATTTTGCATGTGAGATGGAAAAGCTCCTGTGGAACTGAAATATGTCTAAAATCATCTAAACCATGATAGAATCACTGCAACATAAGTTTCGAAGCTTTTTTCTTGAATAATATCATTTTTTGAAAACTGGATATTATTAAATAATATGAATATATAGTGTAGTCCCTTCATAACTAGACACCCTGTTTGAGTCATTTTAATGAAAGCACATAAACGTGAACCATGTCAAATTAGGTTTTCAGGAGACACATTTTTCCATAAAAATCAACTCCTCACCAGCCTTTGCCCTCTCCTAACAACCTTCTCTTCAATAATTGCATATGAGAATAATATTCAAATAAGACCCCATTCGAGAGGTCATTCAGTTCTGTATTCATCCACACAACATATAGGCAATGTCAGACAAAAAAATACTTCTTCAAACATTCAAACTCATCAACTTCCATGTATGTCTATCTTTACATTCTGGAGAATGTCAGATGAGAGAGTCTAGGTGCTCATTCTGTAGAATCTCCCCCCCCCAATACTTCGACCTGGAAAGGTATCCTTGAGGAACTATTGCCCGAGATACTAAGCAAAGAGGAAGAGTCCCGAATCATGTTGAAAAACTTCCTATTCTGCAGAAAGGGTATATCTGTTCATTCGTCCAATTGAAATATCCTTCACCATTAAGTGTCTTAAAAAAAAGGAACCTACAATACAGTTTCCCAGGATTCTCGCTCAATCATTGAGCTATTGGGATAGTGGGTGTGAATTAGACGTGGCATATTGGAATTTTAATCAGTGCAGTATCAACAATTTCCATGCTGAATGCTGAAGATGAATTCTTTCGAAACTATCAGAAGTTTTTGCGGTTTAGCTTATCAAAAAATTTAGGTAGCAATATTCCTTTGAGTTGTGAATTGTGGTGGAGTGTTCAACCTCGTGAATTCACAAGGTATACTCATGAAACTCTCGAAAGGTAAACGTCTGGGCTGGTATATTTATGAAAATTTTCTTGCGGTCCCTTTTACGTTTAAAAATAAAATATAGCGAACCCTTAACACACCTAAAATATGAAAGACCAGAAAAAACAGCAGTCACCCATCATATTTCGTAACGAAACCATTCCATATACTTTAGTTTATTGTGATTAGTTAGACAAGTTAACAACAACAGGCATCTAGATGCCTACGAGGGTGTGGAAATAAGTAAACGTAATAATTTATAATATAAGTAAAGATGGTGACCATAATACCTAATAGTATGTTATATAGCTTGAATATCACTGGAATTTTTCCCAACATCAAACCGTTATTTTAACACCTCGACACGTGTTTCGATCATTTTCAAGAGGAAGATCAAGTTTGACCTTCATTTTGAAGATGATCACTTGGTGATCAAAACACGTGTTGAGGTGTTAGAATAACGATTTGGTGTTGCAGGTACGCAGGTAACTAGCAGAGGTATGAATCAGGCCAATGTTGAATGTACATATAGTTTGATCTTTTTCTTGAAGATGATCACTTGGTGATCGAAACACGTATCGAGGTGTTGAAAATAACGAGACGTATTGCAGGAGGACAAGATGCTGACATAGCGGATTATCCATATCAAGTCTCACTGAGTACCGATGGACTTGCTTTTTGTGGAGGTTCACTGATATCTTCAACTTGGGTTCTCACTTGCGCTCACTGTCTCAAAAAGTAAGATACAGAATGAAATTCAACCCTATTTTAATACGGATTATCCCAATCACGTAGTAGGATAATCCGTATCGAAAGCTACAAAAGGGAATATATGTGTTACCAACTCATTTACAAAACTGATCAATCTGAATGCCCAGTTTTTTGTACATAAATATATTTTCCAATTACACCAAAATTGTTGTCCTAATGCAGTATGAGACGAAAACATTATTATGAAATTTTCACTCATATCATAATCAAGTGTCTGGAAAATACCCTATATATCAGTTATATTTCAAGTATATATACTGAATAAAAATCATGAAAATGCTGCAACTCCATTGAATCAAATTTGTAAATGGGTTAGAAATGAAGTACTCGCCTGTAAAATAATTGAAATATACCTATAGAATTCAGAGATCTCAGGTATGCCTAGATATCTGAGCATATATGAAAACAATGTTTCATGTTCACTTTTTATTCTCGCTATAGACTCGTCGCGTCGGAGAGCGGTGTTCAGTCATCGATTGGCATTGAAAATCAAAAATTTATGTGCATTTATGAGTTGGAAGTGTTTCATTTACAACATACATATCATAATTTGTGAAAAATTGAAAAATATTTCACAGTTCATACAGAATAGCACAAATCGAAGGGTTAATATCACTGACATTATGCGGTATTAGGTGAATCTAGGTGAATCCGACAGACTGTGTCATGTCTCCAAACGTTAACAGGTCTATTTTTCCAACTTGCCTTCAGTTTTTCTCCAGCCCACATGAAATGTAACTCATTTTTTGAAAAATGTACTTCCTTAATTGAACAATCGATTACAATACAATGAATTTCAAATTCATTTATGTCTGAATAGCAATTTCGTTGAATTTTCAATGTTCTTAATGATTGATTTCATAGGATCAGTAGAAGCAGTACCTTCTTGATAGCAGATAGTGATTATACAGTAAATTTCGAACATTTTTTCTATGTATGATTTCTATTGGGTCTTCTAAAAGCTCAATCCCCAATGTAAACATTCATTTACTAGTTCCTTGGTATAACTTTTCGTTAACAGTGTTTTCTCATATTCAATGCAATGACATTTTCAAATAAAATTTTGAAATTTTCGGAAAAGTGTTAGTGAGGTTGGTCGTGTAGAAAAAAATGTTATATTTAAACAAATGAAACATGTCAATACAATAAACAAGTCACTGATTAAAAGAGGTTGATTTCTCACAGGATACAATGAAGAATATTACATTGAAATTTTCTAAAAATCGTTAATTGTTTCAAAATTATGGATTACCGGTAATCCATAATTAGTGACTTGTTTATTGTATTGACATGTTTCATTTGTTTAAATATAGCATTCTTTTCGACACAATTAACCTCACTAATACTTTTCCCTGAAGATGATAATAAATTTTATCGAAATATTGGAATAAGAGTCCACTTCCGTTCTGCTGATCACCCAAAGATAATTTTGAGTTTTGTTCTCGAGTCAACGGGCGACCCGAAATCAATTTTGTGAATTTTATCGAAATATTGGAATAAGAGTACACTTCCGTTCTGCTGATCACTCAAAGATAATTTTGAGTTTTGTTCTCGAGTCAACGGGCGACCCGAAATCAATTTACTCCCTGTATCTTCGTTGTTATTTCATACGGATGTTTCAAATCAAGTACTTTGATTTGATGTTATGAATGTACAGTTTAGCAAGTATCAAACCCAATATGACACTTGTTTGGAGGTGGTTGACAATGTTTCGTGCTGTATTTCATTAGTTCGGACTTCCATTGTCTAATATGATATAAATTTATTTGAAATCCCTGAAAGAAAGTGTAACAAATTGAAAAAGGTTAGCTGAAAAATAAGGTTATATTGGGCAAAAAAAGAGGAAGAGGATCATGGACCAATTTTTGCCAAGGTTGAAAGCACGTGCCTGAATATCCGTCAAGACATAAAGCATACCCACAACAGGAAGTGGAAAGAGTTGGTGAGGAAACAATGCCCAAATTCAGACCAAAAACAGAACTATGAAGCCGCCAGCGCCATCAACATGAGTTCCCGCTCGCTCACGGACAAGTCAACTTTGCAAGTTGTGTTTGAAGATACTTTATCTTCTCAACAATAATGAATTTTCTGTCTTCAATCCAATCAAACTTCTTAATGTTGACAACTTTTCAGGCCCAAGTGGTTTTGTCAGAAAATCAGCCAACATCGAACTGGTCGGACAATACTGATAATTAATTTTGTATTTTTTGTCTGGGGATACATAAAGGATAAATTTTTTTCAACACCAAGTGTAGATATCGACCATTTCGAACAAAAAATAAGAAATGAATGTATTAGTATTATACCTATTATGCTAGAAAATTCCCACAGAAATTTTCTTGACCGACAACTTATGTGCATTCAACAAAGAGTTCGTCAATTCGAGCATTTAATGTAGATTACCATGTAACTTTGATTTTCCGTATTGGTTTCATTTTGTCCAAAAGTTCATGATAAAATAAATTGTTTTTTGTTTGTTGTTGCCACTGATGATGGTTGCTATTTCAAATGAAATGCTATAAAAATATCAAATGTGATATATCGTTTGATTTTGAATTTATGGCTTTATCAATATCTATAATGAAAAAGACAGGTCCGTATTTAAAGAAAGAAGTTGATGAGGGCTATGTTGACTCATAACGTTGTATTGAATACAGTAGAATTCATATATAACGACTCCCCTTATAACGACTATCCGTTTGCATCGACGATAATGTTAACACTAGTTTAGTTTCATATTTAGTTATTGAGAAAATATAACGTTTAGTGCAATCAACCGCTTATAGTAACCGTTTTTCATGATAATACATCCGGTTGAAACGTCGTGCAATGTTTTGTTTACACAATCTGCGCACCAATACCTCGGCGCACTCCCTCTTCTTAGGTACCTCTATTGATAGGTACTACTAACAGATATTAATAGATTGATTTTTCGCCAGAGGTTCCAATATGATGGCTGATATTTCTATCAAATGGGTACGCTCATGGGATCGTGAACTTACGAAAGAGAACAAGAAAATCCTGTTGTTAGTTGACAACTGTCCAGCACATCCCCATTACAGACTTGAAAAGCATAACCCTGGTATTTTTGCCTAAAAACACGACATCAGTGTTGCAACCTATGGATCAAGGGATTATTCGAGCTTTGAAATCACATTTTTTCGAAAATCTTCTCCTGAAAATGATCCACTTTCTAGACGGCTGCGCTGAAAATGAAAAATTATGTTGAGAAATTTTTTATACAACTTTCATAAAAGTGGTATGAAAACATAGAAAGTCTCAATTATCATTTTTCATGATGGTTTCCCACTACGTACTATGGGCTACATTCATCTACAAATCTACACAAATAATGCTTTTCAATCATCTTGACATTATCTCGAATGTAATCGATATTGTTAGGTATCTAGTGTGACGAATTGATTCCTTACTAATCTGTTTTCAACATTCTATTTGTTCAATAATACGGCTACATTTCGTATAATAAATTAGCACTATGGATGTTTCCATTAAGTTATCTTGTGCGCCGTCAGTTATAATCTCCGTTTAATACGTAGCATCAGATAACTTCACAAATACAAAATATACCCCTCAACACTAGATGTATTTGTTGTTTTTTCCAGAATTTCTTGGATGGAGAAGTCAAATAGGCTATGTAGACGCCCAACCTTTCTTTTTCAGTGAGAGCTGAGAATTTCTCATTTTCTGCCACCAACGCATTCACCAGATGTTTTATGGAATATATTTCATTATTAGATTTAATGCTATATTCAGAACTGTCTGAATTCTAGTCTATGCATTGTTATTTCCTGAGCGGTAAGATAGTGAATAGGTTGAAATGCGGCGGAGTTTTCTATTTTTGGATACTATTGAATGATACCAAAAAACCTACTCTAGATTATTTTACTTACGGATATATAAGGAAAAAACTGAGAATTTCAAAATGTCATTTCATGTTGTTTGCAGAAATTGTTCTCACTGTATGAAAACGAACAAGAGTTCTTGCTGTGAAAGTCTAGAGACATCTATTTCATACAAATCTGAATCACTAATTGATCATATAGAAATGTATTCTATACTAGTTTGACATAATCTATCTTCAGTCATATTTTGCAATAAAATTTGAACCATTCACCGCCATGAGTTGTTTCAATTTTCTTTGCATGAATCTCGACTTCAAATGAGATTATTCAGTCTGATCATCTCAGACGTAATTATATTCACTTTCTATATACGTTTGTACATAATTTATTTTTCAAAGTATTTGAGATCCCTGTTCACGTATATTCGGTAAAAAAAAGGAAAACCCTATCATCAAAGTTGAGAAAAAACTCTGAACTTCAAGATCGCGACAAAAAAAATCTCATCACTGCTACATCACAGGTGTAGCAGAGTTGCTTTTCAGGTGATTTTCGATAATACGTGCAGTTTTTGAGAAACCAAAATAAAAACTTCAATTTTCGTTTCTACAGTGAAACTATGATTCCGTTGGTAAAAATATTTCCAACATGGAATATAGAACTTTTTCTTGAATTTTTCTTTAACTGTTGAATAGTATCGAACTGGTATCTGGAACTGGATGTACTCGAACTGAAAATAAATATGCATAAAAGGCACATGCCATTTTATGACCAGTTCCAATTTTATTTTTTCATAAAAGTTAGTAATATATCCTTTCTTGGGAGAGAAAGTTTTTGGCTCTCTACTACTCCATCTTGTTACAAAAAAATGTGGGAATCTTGCAAAGAAAGGAAGGAAGTGATCAATTTTAAAATAAATATTTCTATACATGGATGTGTAGATCATGCAAAGAAGTAACTTTCAGACTCAAACTGAAAGAAAAAGCTCTCCTGAAACAGCTAATTTCATATATACATATACACGAAAAAAAATTCTTTCGAACATTGAATTATATAGAAGACACTATTCTCTACTCAGTTTGTATTCCAAACATTCATTATGGAATGAATTCAGATATCATCTACAGGAGTTACACTGAATGAAAGGTGAAAATGTTTTGCACTTACATGGAACACTGTCATCCTCACTGATGTTTCGCCGTAAGACACTTGCCTTAGGGCTCTTCAGTACCAATCCGGATGACATGAGAAGAAAAATCACACAATTCATTCATAAATTACGATTTTCCATGTCACGGAATAAACCCTGGTATTTTTGCCTCCAAACACGACATCAGTGTTGCAACCTATGGATCAAGGGATTATTCGAGCTTTGAAATCACATTTTTTCGAAAATCTCCTGAAAATGTTCCACTTTCTAGACGGCTGCGCTAGCAGTAGTGTTGAGTATCCAAAGATCACTGTTCTTGATGCCTGGAACCAACTCAAGCAAGGGACAATTTTTAACTGTTATGAACACGGTGGTTTTGTGCAAAACACTGTAGAATGTAACCTAATTTCAAACCCAGATGATTTCTACGAAGACGATTTCAACGTGCCGCGGAGCATTTATGTTCAGTTGCCTATAACAAGCTCAAGTGATGATTCACCAAAACCAGAGGCGAAAAAGCCCTGCACGGCTGAATTTAAGGCATCGTCAGGTGTAGCTGACGTACAAAAACCCTCATATGGGAAGGTTGTCGTTGGTATCGAAGTGGGAATTTTGCAACTTGACTATCCGACTACCTCAATAGTATACATACTTTGTGCCTGCACCGCTGGGGACCGAATCAGGTCTTTAGAGTTCTTTGCTGTTTCATCTGATATCATTTTGAATTTTTTGAATTGAGGAAAGAAGAACATTGTCAAGTAGAATAACTTCTCACAAAAGTGATATAAGATCAAACAAAAATTGATATGCACTAAATCATCATTGTATCGAAACAGGGCACAACATTGGATTTGCAAACAAGCAAATGTTTCACATTCAGAAAAAAAAGTCCGGAAGGCTTTCTCACGAAATTATTCAAATCAACAAAAATCCTAATATTATGAACAAAAAACCAGACATTTTGGAGCATAGTGTATAATTATTCACTAGATATAGATAAATCTCGTTAATATTCTCAATTCAAAATAGTTACACGTTGTATGAAATTCATTAAATGAGCAGTTATGAAATAGAAATATTTCAATGAAAATGTCACTTTTGTCATTACAGTAAGCTTTGAACATGACATTATTAATATTAGATGTCAGAAAATTATAACATTATTACCATCAATGCTCCAATTTTGTGAAAAAATGTTTATTTTTCCACAATATATGATAAAAAAATGTATTGATATATGTTGATTTTTTTGTGAATATGCGGTGTTGCAGCGTTGTACCACTGAGTTTCAGTAATAAAACATTATTCGAAATTAATTGAATAGAACTGGCCGATACAGTTTATTGTATGATTCTAAAGACACTTGCCTTAGGGCTCTTCAGTACCAATCTGGATGACATGAGAAGAAAAATCACACAATTCATTCATAAATTACGATTTTTCATGTCACGGAATAAGTTTGATCTACTTATGTCATCGATGACATCGTAAAGCCATTTATTCACATATTTGATAAAATCCCAGCCAAGAGAAATATTGTTCAAATTGAAAGGGTTATATTTTTAGGAGTGACTCATTTTTGGCAACATTTTTTTGTAACAAGATGGAGTAGTAGAAAGCCAAAAACTTTCTTTCCTAAAAATTTGTCACCCCTAAAAATATAACCCTTTCAATATATCCTTTTTCTAAAGTCGGGTAAATATTTCAATGGTTTCTCCTTGTATCAGATCCTAAAATATTCCATATTTCGATTCGATGATGTGAAAAAACCCATGTGTTGCGAAAAATATGAAATTGATCAAAAAGTGGCACATGCTTGTTTTGCATATTATAATTTAATTCATTGTTAAGATATCAGAAATTCCCGTGGAGAAAGTATGAGTGAATATAATCGGTGATGTTGATATTTACATCTATATTTGAATATTTTCATCTGTATAATCATTCAACCAACAAAACCTTTATAAAACTTCAACCCATTGTTGCATTTTTTTTGGAAATATCGAAACCAACCACCATTTGACCAGGGTGCAGAAACGTTCCACAAAAACGATGGTCACAATTGTCGAAAAAAAATCAAATACTCCAAACAGGGCTTTTTCCAAATTTTGTATAAGTCAGCATCCTATTTTACTATACCATACAGGTTATTTTCTCATTTTAACAAAATATTATCATTTCAGTATTACAGCCGCCCAAATAACAGTCCTCGCTAACTCCTCCCATATCAATGACGGTGTGAAAAGATCAGTCTCCCAAGCTATACCTCACGAAAATTTTTGCTATGACACCGGAGACAGCGACCTCGCCCTGCTTCAACTTTCATCTCCTCTCGAGTGTGTCAACTGTAAACCGATAACATTAGCTAGAAAGGAACCCAAAGTAGGAGACTATCTTGTTCTTACTGGATGGGGAAGAATAAGTGAATTTGATACCAGTGACGGTACCGAGATACTTCAGTACGTTGAGATTCCAGTCATCGATAGAACTGTCTGCAGAGAAATGTACAGCCATACTGTTGAAATCATAACGGATAATATGATCTGCTCCCTTTATCCCGGAGGTGGTAAGGATTCTTGTGTTGGAGACTCAGGAGGACCGGCTGTTGTAGATGATGTATTATTTGGTGTCGTATCGTGGGGTATAGGTTGTGCCGAAGCACAGTATCCAGGAGTATATACCAGTGTTCCGAAGTTTTTAGAATGGATTGAAAAGCATACTGGCCTAGAATTGAATTAATATAAAATGTTGTTGATGGTGATGCACAGGTAGTTTATTTCACTCGATTCTGAATAAACTTGTTTGAGTTATTGATGAAATTTTGAATTTTTGCTTTATATTACACCCACTTCGAGAAATATTCAACTTAGATAACACATTCATTAACATCTTAGTGAAAATCAAAAAACTTCACAGAAAAATTACAAAATCAAATGTCGGTTGCTGATTAGAATGAAGATGAATTTACGTAGGTACTCAGATTTATTGATACGAAAAAAACTTATTCAATTTGGTGACTGAGTCATGACATTATTTCAAATGCCATTCGTTAGACTAGTTCAATTTTCATTCCAGTTATAAAGTGCCATAGTGAAGGGTTCATTTACATATATCCAGACATGAAAGCAGGAACTGATTGAAATTATTCAATATATATTTTATCATAAGCTGAGACTCCTTTGTTTTTTGAATGTGGAGCTACTTGATTTTATTTTGCTGATATCAAGAAATGAAGAATATGAATGGGTCAAAAAGTTATTTAATGATTACTTCGGATTAAAACTTAAGTATAGACATGAATGTAGTTATAGTTTTTTCATAGAAATTATGTGAAGCCGGTAATGTAACAAATGAAATAATTCGACGCCGCTGCAGCTGCAGTAGGGTCTTACAAAATAATGTGCGAATTCATATAACTTTCAGCATGGCTACACAAGAATGATATTCGAAACATTTGTTGCATATAAAATTCGATGGAAAATAATAAGATATAAGGTTGGGCTTCAAAGAAAATAAGTAATCTTTGTAACGGGAATCAAATCCGACAAGAGAAGAATTTGGAAATTCCTCACCACATAAGTCCTTTTTTCTGGATGTTATCAGCAACAGAAGTGATTGAAGAGTTGAATATTCTGAATGTAGTCTGAGGGATTGAATAGGAAAATAGGTCAGATGTTTAGTAATGTTATAAATATCCTGAATTCGTTAAGTGAATGTTGAATTAGAGTAATTCAATTATCTATCCAAAACTGGTCAGCAGAAAGGAGGTATTCATCCATAAGGATTCCAAACCAGATGAAAATGCTCGTGACGTTTGGATAACTTACGTTTCTTGGGAATACCAAACGACTTCATTTGTCCATAGTCAAATGAAAACGGGTAGATCTACAGAAAATAATCCCGGTTGAGATATTGGTTCCAGATATTGGATGGTTAAAATAACTCGCCTCTTTTGAGGAAAAGACTTCCACAAAAATGATGAAAAACGCAGAATATGATAACTGAAGTGAAACACATCACTTTCGTTTCTGAACCATAACAGAAAATATTCTCAGGTTGACATGTTACTGATTAGATTCTCAACACAAACTCGTCCTCTTCGCCATGACGTACACGTTGACGTCCACAAAAATGGCTTATTTTGAATTTATATGAAATATTCATTGAGCATTCCTTCCTAGTAGTTTCAATGAATCACAGATTTCGATCATATCTTTCGATTATTATTTGCCATACGTGAATTTATTTGACATTGGCAATAAATAAGATTGAAACAAAATAGGTGAAAAAATTTGCAAGAATTCCTTCTTTCTGGACTCAGGGTATATAGCTTGAAAGTTTCTTTGAAAAATTAATTTTCTCGATAATACTTCGTTCAGTTTCAAACTATACCAACCATAAATGAAACGAAACCCAAGATTACCAAGAAAAATAAATTTGAATTTCATGTATTTAAATCAGATTAGGAACGGTGAAGAGTATGATTCAAAAAAAGATGTATCAAATTGTTTCGAATAAGCTTTTGAATTGAGTAATTTGAATATGTTGTATGGACTTGAAGTATGGATGGTTGACAAGATGAAATTTTCACGTCACATGTGTTTGTAATGTATGCATTGAATTATTTTATACTAGCTAAATACACGCAAATACACAGTTTGTATATTCAACTGTAGCGAGTGCTCAATTTTTCCATAAGTTTTGCCCATGTTAATCAGAGAATATAACTAATTCACCCGCATAAAACCCGATCCCGTTGGTATGTCTGAATTCTATGGGTATGTCTGGATGAAAAGTAATACATGTGATAGGTATTCACCTGTTCTTGTATGTGGGTTCAGGTATGGTTATTATCATTATTATTACTATTATTATTGTTAACATTTCATCATTGATGACACCGGCCTTATACGCACGCGCGGAGCCAGACGAACAGTTGTGAATGGAAAATACAAAGGGAAGACGTGTGTTCCGCTAAATGTGTGTTCCGTAAAACGTTTTGTGAAATAAAAATTATAAATGTCTACCGCCAAAACAGCATCATTCAAGATTCCTTCAAGATCGCTACCGGGGTATTCCACGATCAAATATTAGAAAGTGAAACCAGAGGGCAAGGAGATTTTCTGGGAACAAATAATGTTGGTGTTTTCCATCATTATTTTCTGAATTGTTTCTTCCTTAAATATCCAACAACCGGTTCACATACGGTAAATACAGTCATTATCGAATAATATGTTATCCTTATCCTGTGATTGTGTATCGATTGAAATTAACATCTGTTACGTTCAAATAATGTTGATTTCTGAACTTAAAAAAATTAACAGAATGAGTTTAGTTGTTTCACAATTTATCGATTGAAGCTGAAGATAAGTTGAACTTTTTTGGGCTAATAGGATTTTCAACAATAATTCCTTGCATTAAAACTTCTTGTTGAGGCCACAGGCGGCTTTGCGGCTAGCCAAATAAAGATTTTATTCGTGGGACAATGAGCCACTGAATTTTAGGAACTCGGAGCTCTCCTGCAAACAATATTTCAATGTCTTTTCATTTTTTGATAGCAAAATAGACTGATTTTTCAAGTTATGATATTGAATATCGTTCACAGAAATGCTATAAGCCACAAAGCTGTAATTGTTTATGATCTGATAAACCGGTGAAAACGGTATGAAAAATGTAATTCAATTCATCTATCAATCTATACATCTGTATGAAGCCGTGGAATGATAAATTATGACTGTGACAACTAGAAATTCCTAAATTTGACAAATCCATAAGCCGTGGACTTAAAATATGTTATACAATAAAATACCAACTCTAAATTGAATCCATGTAAAGCTGGGGCAGATCGTTAGTTGCCTGTATAATTCTGAGAAGGACTTTTTTCAATGAATTCAATCTCCAGCGATTCAAATCCAACGTGAATCACTACTTTCGCACATGCACCGCTCTTAAAGATCCTTCTGTAGTGCTTGTGTGTTTTTCTTAATAAAAATTATTCAATACCGTGTTAGGAATCACACGTTAAAAGGTAAGATCTCGTTAGTCCTTAGCTCGCACAAGTTTCTCAACTTCTGAGAGTTGTCGTTCGTATGGGGGCGGCAGCTGATTAACGGAAAAACAGATTTTAAACAGATTTTTAAACAGAATAGCGGAGAAGAGGCAAAGTGTGTTAGGTTACAACTCGGTCGCTATCCCAGTGAGCGACGTTAGGATGGGTTCTTGATCATTCTTGATCATAGCATTCGATGCAATATTCTCTACTGAAAACCATAAATTACAAAAATGTGTTGTCAATTTTTAGCTTGTTGAGTTTCGGCTTCTCACAGTTACCGTTCATGCGAACTGATTCACATAAAACCCCATTTTTCATATAATTTTGGACCATTTTCAATCTAACCCATATTCGAGATTAAATTTACTAGTTCCGACTTCCATTAACTAATGATCCTAATACGATTCAAAATCTATGAAAGAACATATAAAACTAGAATGATTAGCTGGAACATCAATTATAGAGTAGAATGGAGTATATACTTTATGTGGTTATTTTACATACTATAGTACAAAGCTGCTGGAAAACAATTTCATGAAAAACAAAAAAAAAATATTTGTCCGATCATTCCCATATTGATTTCAATTTATGACTCGCCTGCATTCACACAGTTATTTTTATCAAGTAATTTCCTTGGTTATTCATATTTTGTCTTCAATCGAGTACCGCCTGCCCGGTACTGACAATGCCCAACAGGCAGAAACAGCTGTCTACCGAAGACTCTTTAATTGAAATCAATATGGAAATGATCAGAAAAATACTCATCTATTTACATTCAGATTCCCATGGAATTATTTTCCAGCACCCTAGAAAATCACCTGAAAAATCACCAAGGTAAATGCAGACAACATTAACCTTCCCCGAATTTATATCATTTCTAAGAGCATGTGGATTCGTTTTCTGATGGCATTCCAGGATAGCTTCCCAAATTTCTGCTATCGCAGTTGTAGATTGATTGGTTAAACCACCAACACTGACATAAAACCATTGTCAAGTTGACTTGGGTGTCACACCAATAGGTGGTTCCATTTATATCTCGCTTGCATTTACGCAGTTATTTTTATCAAGTACTCTTTTTGGATGTTCACATTTTGTCTTCAATCGAGGACCGCCTGCCCGGTACTGATAATGCCTAACAGGCTGAAATAGCGGTCTACCGGTGACTCTTAGATTGAAATCAATATGGGAATGATCAGAATAGTACTTATGCATTGAATTGAATGAGGTCTTTCACAAAATGAAAACACTGCCACGTCAATATATGTTATAAAAACAGTGTTGGAGAAGAAACTTTTCAAAAGTAGAATTGAATTTTGCAAGGCTTCGTATCTTCAGAGACGAGTGAAGATGATTATACAAAAGTAAGTAGTTAATTTCTCTTACTAGTTGTTGATTCATGTCTAGGCAGGTTCAATAAACTTCCGGATCTCGTTTCATATGCACACAATGTCACAATGTCTGTCACATTCATGAATGTTTTCATGAATCTTCACTAGAACTTCATAGATGTATGATGTTGAAAGTGGCATAATACCAAGTTGAATAAAAAAAGAACGACAGTGGTCTTTTTAACCTACTTTGGCTATCATTCTTATGACCCTTTTCTGGCACCTAAAAACTAGAGTTACCTGAATGATCCCAAATCATAATACCATTTGATATACCTGAGTGGGACAGTGGGAAGTTTGCTAGTCACAGCTTTGATATGATCAAACCAGCTCAATCTATTATATTAAGCAATGAACCGTGAAATGAAAATACAATAAAATGAATA